TTTCCATTGTGGCAGCACCATTTTACATTTTCACTAGCAATGCACACAGTTTCCAATTTCTCTACACTCTTGCCAAAACTTATTTTCTATTTTTTTATGATAGCCATCCTAATGGATGTGAAGTTGTATCTCATTGTGATTTTGATTTTGATTTCCTTAATGACTATTGATGTTGAGCATCTTTTTATGTATTTATTGACCATTCATAAATTTCTCTGGAGAAATGAGTATTTGAGACTTTTGCCCATCTTTGAATTGGGTTATTTGTTGTTTTTATTGTTGTGATGTGGGGGTTCTTTACATATTTTGGATATTAACCCCTTATCGAATATCTGCTTTGCAAATATTTTCTTCCATTCTGTGGATTGCCCTTTCAGCCTCTTGACTGTGTCCTCTGCCACGCAAAAGTTTTAAATTTTGATATAGTCCACTCTATCCTTGTTTTTCTTTAGTTGCTGTGCTTGCAGGGTAATGTCCAATAAATCATTGCCAAATTCAATGTCATGAAGCTTTTCTCTTATATTTTCTTCTAAGAGTTTTAGGTTGCAGCTCTCATTTTTAGGTCTTTGATCCACTTTACATTAATGTCCAATTTCATTATTTTGTAGGTGGATATCCAGTTTTCCCAGCATTATTTGTTGAAAAGACTGTCCTTTCCCCATTAATAATTTTGGCACCCTTGTCAAAGTCAATTATATATGTAGGAGTATATTTTTGGGTTCTCTATTCATTCCATTGGTCTTATGCTTGTCCTAATGCCAATGCCAAACTGTTTTGTAGCAAGTATTGACATCAGGATGTGTCTGGCTATTTGGGGGCCCTTGAGATTCCACATGAATTTTAGAATGTACTTTTATATGTCTTTTAAAAGTGACATTGGAATTTTGATAGGGATTCCACTGAATCTGTAGATTACTTTGGGTAATATTTTCATCTTACCAATATTAAGTCTTCCAATCCATGAACACAGTATGTCTTTCCATTTATTTATGTCTCCTTTAATTTCAGTATTCATTTTTTATTTATTTATTTATTTTTTATAGGGGTATAGTTGTTTTACAATGTTGTGTTAGTTTCTACTGTACAGTGAAATGAAGTAGAGTTACCTGTGCTATACAGCAGGTTCTTATTAGTTATCTGTTTTATACATATTAGTGTATATATGTCAGTCCCAATCTCCCAATTCATCCCACCTCACCCCCCACATTCTCCCCTTGGTGTCCATATGTTCAGTATTCATTTTTATTTCTCCAGATATTTACACCTTCCAGGGACCTTCATTCCTCCCTACAGTTCTGTGTTTCCCTATGGTATTACTTTCCTGCAACATAAAGTATTCCCTACAGTAGTTGTCGTAGGACAGATCTCCTGTGAAAAATTCTTTCAGCTTTTGTTTGTCTGAAAACATCTTTATTTCACTTTTGTTTTTGAAGAATATTATCAACATGATAGAAATCTAAGTTATCACGTTCTGGGTTTTTTTTTTCCCCCTTAGCACCTTAAATATGACATTCCATTCTATTCTGGATTCCATGGTTTCTGTTAAAAAAAAAAAATCAAGGACCAGTTTTACTCTTTCAACCCTGAAAGTAATGTGTCTTTTATTGTCTGGATGCTTTTAAATTGCCTCTATGTTTTGTTTTTAGCAGTTTAAATTCGATGTGCCTATGTGTCATTTTCATTTTTTGTCCTGCTTGAATAAGTTGACAATAGAATAATCCAGCAGAGTCCATGCCTTGTTACCCTAGCATACTTACTTCTTCTAACCATATTTAACTTCCAAATAATGTCAATATTAAAATTATGCTTCCACCTAACGTGATACAACTATCCCTCATATAGATTAAAACAAACTAATCCTCTTCCCCAAAGTAATTTTATTTATCTTTCAATCATTTTTATTTCTCTTCCTGCTGAGTCATAGTCCACCTATGATATCTTGTCATATAAATACTAGATACAAGGTTAAGCACTTATATTTATTTCCTACTGCTGCTATAACAACTGCCAAAACCTTAGTAGCTTTAAACAACAAAAAATTATTATCATACAATTCTGGAGGCCAAAATCTGAAATGGATCTCACTGGGCTAAAATCAAGATGTCAGCAATGCTGCATTCTTTCTGGAAGCTCTAGGGAAGAATTTGTTTTCATGCCTTTTCCAGCCTTTAGTGGCTGCCCACATTCCTTGGCTCATGGTCTCCTTCCATTTTCAAAGCCAGCAATGACCTACCAAGTATGTCTCACATCACATCACTCTGGTGCTGACTCTTCTGTCTCCTCTTTGACTTATACAGACTCTTTATTTTCCCAATTATAAGGTCCCCTCATTTTTTTTGGTGTGGTGGTTCACTGGCATGAGGAACTCAAAATGGCCAGGTGACAGTATCAGCTTCCATTTTAATGGAACTGTTGGTGTGTACCTTGGTGGAAGCCTTCCTCCTGTGGGTTCTAAGGCCTTTATATCCACAGAACCCAAAGGTACAAGGAAAGGAAGCAAGATTTTCACTAGTGGATTATTAGAGATAATATTGAGAGGGAGCCACTTTAATTTCCACCCTTTAATTTTCAAACTCATAAATGCTGGCTGGCATAGATTCAGATCATATTCTATAACATGAAGGACATCACTGTAGCCTGAAAAGTGTTGTCAGTGGAACTCTAACTGTAACTGAGTCTCCAAAATGCCATTCCACCAGGCCAAGTGCTTTAGGGTGATGGGGAACAAGGTAATGTCAGTGAATTTCATGAGCATAGGCCCATTGATGTGCTGCATTTGCTCTGAAGCAAGTTCTCTGATCAGAAGCAATGCTATGCAGAATGTAATGACAAGTGAATAAAACATTTTGAAGGTACACAGATAGTGGTTTTTGTAGAAATATTTTGTACCCAGGAGTGTAAATTATCAATTCCAATGAGAATCAAGTGTTACCCCTTCCATAATAGAAGTGTTCCAACTAATCAATGTGCCACAAGAAGCTGGCTAATTCCCTCAAGGAATGCCATATCAGGGGTTCAGTGTTGGTCTCTGCTTTGGCACAGTGGGCACTCAGCAGTAGTTGTAGCCAGATATAGTGCATAAAAATCCATGTTGCTGATCCCGAATAACCTCCACTCCTCCATTCCTGTTGCCATGGCCACTTTGTTCATGAGCCCATTGGGCAAGGAGAGCAGTGGCTAGGGAAATAGACTGACTCCAAAGAATGGGTCATCTTGCTTACTTGATTATTAATATTCTTCTCTGCTGAGATTGCTCTTTGATGAGAATTGACATGGGACACAAATGTCTTCACACTTGGTGCCCATTTGGAGGGTTCTGACCTCTTCCGCAAAAGCTTTCTAACCAGGTTATTTCCAAATCCCTGACCATCCAGCAAAGCCACCAGTTATTGCCCATCTGTAGATCTGTACCTCTGGCCATCTTTTCTTCCAGGCATAATATACAACAGGTATGGTGCTTGAAGTTCTGTCCCCTGTAAGTATTTCTCTTCAGAGCTACCCCTGAGTGAGGCTGTATATTATATATGGAACTTCCTATGGGTCACACTTTGCACTTGACCTCCTGAGGCCTGCTAGGTCCTGAGTTTGACCAATAGAATTCAAACTAAGTGATGCTGTGTGACTTCCAAGACAAGGTCTTGAGAAGCCTTGCAATTTCTACTCTGTCTCTCTCTGTCTCTTTCTCTCTCCCTCTCTCCATCTCTCTCTCTCTCTCTCTCTCTCTCTCTCTCTCTGTCTCTCTCTCTCTCTCTCTCGTACTTTGAAATGTACATGCTGTGAAGAAACTCTAAACTGAAAGTCTGTATGGAGAGAAAAGCCCAGCCATCACAGAGGTTCCAACAATCCAAGCTGAAGACCCAGTATATGTGTGTGAGACCATATTAAATCACCCATCTCCAGCTGATCTGGCAACTGACTACAGCCAAATACATGAGTCCAAGCAAGAATAGAAGTTCCCCGTCAACCCACAGAAAGCAGTTGTTGCTTTAAGTCACTAAATTTGAGGGTGGTTTGATACAATAATCTACAAGTTTAGAAGATACTATTCAGATTTTAAACCATCATAAATTTTTCTTGATACTCAATTTGGGGTTTTACTTAAGAAATTACATCTTCCTTTCAGAAAGAATATTATTTGTGTTGAGGTGAGCTGCACCATCTTCCACAGGCAATTGCAATGGGACTTCAAATTGTTATATTAGTATTATGGATTACTTCAACTTGTATTTATTTGATTTGATTTAATATAAACAAACTGAGGGGTCAGGGAATGTTTACCAAGAGTTATTAAGGTTTTTGGGAGGGATAAGGTAGGAGAGGGTTACCAAAGATAGCTTTCCAAGATAGAAGAATTGCTTGCAGTTGTTTGACTAAATTTGCACTAACAATAAAAGTAGATAGGGTTTGTAAATCAGTGGAATTACCACAGGAATGAGGAGGATTCTGTAATGACAATAATAGATAATACTTATTGAGTGCTTTTTTATGCCAGAAGTTGTTCTAAGTGCTTTACAAATTTTGGCTCATTTATTCCTAACCATAGCTGTATGAAATAGTACTGTCATTCTCATATTTTAGATAAGAAACTGATCATAGAAGTTAAGCAACTTGTTCAGGATCACACAGCTAGTAATTACTAACACTTGAGCCCAGACAATATTATGCCATGCTCAGTGTTCTTAACCACTAGGCTGTATTTTGTCTTTCTCCTAGATTACACTGGAGTATACGAAAGTGACCCAACCAAAATTTTGGATATTTTATTTATAGTTGCTAGTGATACCATTACAAATTTAAGGGTAAAACTCTTTGTGAGAATAATACCAATATTGCCTGACTTATCAAAGCAAACCTTGATTGGATAATATTTCTAAAATCTAGTTTACATATGTAAAATCTATTTTATGATTTTTACTCATTTTGCCCTAATTAGGCAAAAAGCTAATTAGAGGTAGAAAACCCAGTTTTGACTGTAAAATCTTATGTGTTTGAACCTTTAGAATGTCGCTGTATTCCAACACTTTAAAAGTCTGATTAATATAAGAAGACAAGGGGAGCCACGTCAGATACTGAAATACATTAATCCTAAAGAGGTAAGGACATTATTTATTGATACAATATATTTTCCCCCCTTAAAAATGTGTGGCTACTTTATAAATTCAATGTGCTTGTATTTCTTTTTTTTAACTTTTTAAATTAAAATATTACACACATATAGAAAGTTCATAAAACATAAATTTATAACAACTGAATCATCACAAGCAAACCCCTGTGTAACATTCACCCAGATCAACGTTTTCATACTTCAAACCATTACCTTTGGGTGCCCTGCAAATCACTGCCGACTCTCTTCTTCCAAAAGGTAAACCCTATTTTGAATCCTACCACTATACTTTAGTTTTCTGTTTTAAAGCTACATATAAATAGAATCCTATAATATACTTTTGTATCTAGCTTTGTTCATTCAACATTGTTTGTGAACCTAAACTTCATTCATTTCATAAAAATGTTGGTAGTATTCCATTTTATGCATATACTGCTATTTATTCATTCTACAACAGATTGACATTTGGACATTTTCTAGTTTGTGGCTATTAAAACGGCTGCTTTTGGAACTATTCTTACTCATGCCTCCTGGCTAACAGGTCCACAAATTTCTTTTGGTTTCTATTCAACCTAGAATCAGAATTGCTGGATGGAAGGATATGCCAAACTATTTTCCAAAGTTATTGTATTAATTTATGTTCACTGTCAGCAACCTTTGGGAATTCTTGGTGCTCTACATCCTCAGCAACACTTAATATTGTCAGTTTTTAATTTGCATTTCTCTGATTACTAATGAAGTTGAGCATCTTTTTGAGGAGTTGTGCTTCTGATTAAAATTCTATATGTGATTTTTCAGGCCTGACCACAGGCAATTACAAAGCCTTTACCTGACAGGACTCACAAGGGAAAGCTATCCTCACCTCACACTAGACTTGGTACAGAGTCAGTGCATTACAGTCACTGAAGGGAGTTGCAGACAAGGACTCAGGACCCTCTCTGTCCACGAATTTAGGCATATTTTCCTAGCCCCAAAAGCCTTCACTCCTAGATCTCTCTCTCTTTTTTTTAAAGTATTTTTATTGGAGTATAATTGCTTTACAATGGTGTGTTAGTTTCTGCTGTATAACAGTGAATCAGCTATAGATATAAATATATTCCCATACCTCCTCCCTCTTGCGTCTCCCTCCCACCCTCCCTATGCCACCCCTCTAGGTGGACACAAAGCACCAAACTGATCTCCTTGTGCTATGCGGCTGCTTCCCACTAGCTATCTATTTTACATTAGATAGTGTATATATGACCATGCCACTCTCTCACTTCGTCCCAACATACACTTACATCTCCCCATGTCCTCAAGTCTATTCTCTACGTCTGCGTCTTTATTCCTGTCCTGCCCCTAGTTCTTCAGAACCTTTTTTTAATATTCCATATATATGAGTTAGCATACGGTATTTGTTTTTCTCTTTCTGACTTACTTCACTCTGTATCACAGTCTCTAGGTCCTTCCACCTCACTACAAATAACGCAATTTCGTTTCTTTTTATAGCTGAGTAATATTCCATTGTATATAAGTGTCACATCCTCTTTAACCATTCATCTGTCGATGGACACTTAGGTTGCTTCCATGTCCTGGCTACTGTAAATAGATCTGCAATGAACATTGTGGTACATGACTTTTTGAATTATGGTTTTCTCAGGGTATATGCCCAGTACTGCGATTGCTGGGTCATATGGTAGTTCTATTTTTAGTTTTATAAGGAACCTCCATACTGTTTTCCGTAGTGGCTGTATCAATTTACATTCCCACCAACAGTGCAAGTGGGTTCCCTTTTCTCCACACCCTCTCCAGCATTTATTGTTTGTAGATTTTTTGATGATGGCCATTCTGACTGGTGTGAAGTGATACCTCATTGTAGTTTTGATTTGCATTTCTCTAATGATTAGTGATGCTGAGCATCCTTTCATGTGTTTGTTGGCAATCTATATCTTCTTTGGAGAAATGTCTGTTTAGGTCTTCTGCCCATTTTTGGATTTGGTTGTTTGTTTTTTTGATATTGAGCTGCATGAGCTGCTTATAAATTTTGGAGATTAATCCTTTGCCAATTGCTTCATTTGCAAATATTTTCTCCCATTCTGAGGGTTGTCTTTTCATCTTGTTTATCGTTTCCTTTGCTGTGCAAAAGCTTTTAAGTTTCATTAGGTCCCATTTGTTTATTTTTGTTTTTATTTCCATTTCTCTAGGAGGTGGGTCAAAACGATCTTGCAGTGATTTATGTCATAGAGTGTTCTGCCTATGTTTTCCTCTAAGAGTTTTATAGTGTCTGGCCTTACATTTAGGTCTTTAATCCATTTTCAGTTTATTTTTGTGTATGGTGTTAGGGAGTGTTCTAAATTCATTCTTTTACATGTAGCTGTCCAGTTTTCCCAGCACCACTTATTGAAGAGGCTGTCTTTTCTCCATTGTATATTCTTGCCTCCTTTATCAAAAATAAGGTGACCATATGTGCATGTGTTTATCCTTGGGCTTTCTATCCTGTTCCATTGATCTATATTCCTGTTTTTGTGCCAGTACCATATTTTCTGCATGACTGTAGCTTTGAAGTATAGTCTGAAGTCCAGGAGCCTGATTCTTCCAGCTCCGTTTTTCTTTCTCAAGAAAGCTTTGGCTGTTCAGGGTCTTTTGTGTTTCCATACAAATTGTGAAATTTTTGTTCTAGTTCTGTAAAATGTGCCATTGGTAGTTTCATAGGGATTGTACTGAATCTGTAGATTGCTTTGGGTAGTAGAGTCATTTTCACAGTGTTGATTCTTCCAATCAAAGAACATGGTATATCTCTCCATCTGTTTGTATCATCTTTAATTTCCTCATCAGTGTCTTATATTTTTCTGCATACAGATCTTTTGTCTCCTTCGACAGGTTTATTGCTAGGTATTTTATTCTTTTTGTTGCAGTGGTAAATGGGGGTGTTTCCTTAATTCCTCTTTTAGATTTTTCATCATTGATGTATAGGCATGCAGGAGCTTTCTGTGCATTAATTTTGTATCCTGCTACCTTTCCAATTTCATTGATTAGCTCTAGTAGTTTTCTGGGAGCATTTTTAGGATTCTCTATGTATAGTATCATGTCATCTGCAAAGAGTGACAGCTTTATTTCTTCTTTTCTGATTTGGTTTCCTTTTATTTCTTTTTCTTTTCTGATTGCTGAGGCTAAAAATTCCAAAACTATGCTGAATAAGAGTGGTGAGAGTGGGCAACCTTGTCTTGTTCCTGATCTTAGTGGGAATGGTTTCAGCTTTTCACCTTTAAGGACGATGTTGGCTGTGGGTTTGTCATATACGGCCTTTATTATGTTGAGGTAAGTTCCCTCTATGCCTACTTTCTGGAGGGTTTTTATCATAAATGGGTGTTGAATTTTGTCAAAAGCTTTTTCTGCATCTATTGAGATGATCATATGTTTTTTATCATTCAATTTGTTAATATGGAGTATCACACTGATTGATTTGTGTAATTGAAGAATCCTTGCACTCCTGGGATAAACCCAACTTGATCACAATGTATGATCCTTTTAATGTGCTTTTGGATTCTGTTTGCTAGTATTTTGTTGAGGACATTTGCATCTTGTTCACCAGTGATATTGGCCTGTAGTTTTCTTTTTTTTTGTAACATCTTTGTATGCCTTTGGTATCAGGGTGATTGTGGCCTCATAGAATGAGTTTGGGAGTGTTCCTCCCTTTGGTATATTTTGGAAGAGTTTGAGAAGAATAGGTGTTAGCTGTTCTCTAAATGTTTGATAGAATTCCCCTGTGAAGCCATCTGTCCTGGGCTTTTGTGTGTTGGAAGATTTTTAATCACAGTGCTTGTGATTGGTCTGTTTATATTTTCTATTTCTTCCTGCTTCAGTCTCGGAAGGTTGTGCTTTTCTAAGAATTTGTCCATTTCTTCCATGTTGCCCAATTTATTGGCATACAGTTGCTTGTAGTAATCTCTCATGATCCTTTGTATTTCTGCAGTGTCAGTTGTTACTTCTCCTTTTTCATTTCTAATTCTATTGATTTCAGTCTTCTCCCTTCTTTTCTTGATAAGTCTGGCTAATCGTTTATCAATTTTGTTGATCTTCTCAAAGAACAAGCTTTTAGTTTTATTGATCTTTGCTATTGTTTTCTTCATTTCTTTTTCATTTATTACTGACCTGACCTTTATGATTTCTTTCCTTCTGCTAACTTTGGGGGTTTTTTTGTTCTTCTTTCTCTAATTGCTTTGAGTGTAAGGTTAGGTTGTTTGTTTGAGATGTTTCTTATTTCTTGATGTAGGATTGTATTGCTATAAACTTCCCTCTTAAAACTGGTTTTGCTACATCCCATAGGTTTTGGGTCATCATGTTTTCATTGTCATTTGTTTCTAGGTATTTTTTGATTTCCTCTTTTTCTTCAGTGATCTCCTGGCTATTTAGTAGTGTATTGTTTAGCCTCCATGTGTTTGTATTTTTTAACAGATTTTTTTCTGTAATTGATATCCAGTCTTATAGTATTGTGATCAGGAAAGATACGATTTCAGTTTTCTTAAATTCACCAAGGCTTGATCTGTGACCCAAGATATGATCTATCCTGGAGAATGTTCCATGAACACTTGAGAAGAAAGTGTATTCTGTTGTTTTTGGATGGAATGTCCTATAAATATTAATTAAGTCCATTGTGTTTAAAGTATCATTTAAAGCATGTGTTTCCTATTTATTTTCATTTTAGATGATCTGTCCATTGGTGAAAGTGGAGTGTTAAAGTCCCCTACTATGATTGTATTACTGTTGATTTCCCCTTTTATGGCTGTTAGCATTTGCCTTATGTATTGAAGTGCTCCTATGATGGGTGCATAAATATCTACAATTGTTATATCTTCTTTTTGGATTGATCCCTTAATCATTATGTAGTGTCCTTCTTTGTCTCTTGTAATAGTCTTTATTTTAAAGTCTATTTTGTCTGATATGAAAATTGCTACTCCATCTTTCTTCTGATTTCCATTTGCATGGAAATCTTTTTCCATCCCCTCACTT